ACACACACACACACACACACACACACTCACACGCGCGTGCGCGCGCGCGCTCATGTACATTACAAACATGCACCCACAAACAAACAAAAAAAAGTAAGTAAATTTAAAAAACTTCACATATTCACAAATCTACATCACAATCAACTCATTGTCTCACGACTCCACCAATTCACCCCACTCCCCTCCTCTCCCATCTCACTCCTCTCCCATCTCACTCCCCTCCCATCCCACTAACGTCCTACCCACTCCTCTTCAACCCACTCCCCTCCAACCTACTCCCCTCACCCACTTCCCTTTCATCCCACTCCCCTCACACACCCTTTTCCCCACCCCTTCCTCTCCCATCCCACCAATCCAACCTCCTCCCCTCCCACCCACACCCCTATCCAACCCTCTCTCTTCCCACCTCTATCAATCCGTACCCCCTCCCTTCCCTCCCTACCAACACTACCAATCCGTACCCCCTCCATTCCCACCCTACCAACAACCCCTCCCCTCCGAAACCACCAATCCTAACCCGCCCCCCACCCTTCTCACCTACCCATTCAACCCCTTGCCCTCCATCTCCCCCTTCTTCAACTCCTCCAGTCAACGGTAACTGGGCCATGTGGCAACAGTGGTCTCCATGTACTCGCACCTGCGACTTCGGCACCCGAACAAGGATTCGAACCTGCACCAACCCAGCTCCAAATGCTTGCGGCATGTCCTGCCCTGGTAGCGCCTCCGAGGAGGCTGGTTGTAACAACCCCTCTTGCCTTAGATGCGGTAGGTTTTGGGTTTAAATCTTTCCAAAATGTTGACAATTTTCGGTTTACGGATTTAAAAACAATAAGTATGATAATCCTTTTTTTTGTTGTATAGTTTGATTCTAAATGAGTTATAAAGACATTCTTTCACAAATGTGCTATGCAAACATTTTACAATTGTGCCATTTATACTTCAAGTTGAGGCAGTTATGCATGAGGCTTGCACAGTAAAATCTCCTACAAACCTTCATGCCAACTCACTCTATGCTTCGCTGTTTCAGAATCATAAAGTTCTCTGCTCCATACCTAGTTTTGAGAACTTTGACGTAAACATTTTTGAGTTTCGTATCATGTCAAACTTTTACGAATGCTATTCTTTGAATATCTGAATGAGGATTCTGATAGGGCAGATAGAACATTTGGTTTCTGTCCTCATGGTCTTAGTAACTCAAAACAGCCCAAAAAAAGTGAGACACAACTTTGTAATTCTGAGGTAGCGTCATGTCCTTATTGCATTGTTATCACACCTTCATTTCATCAACATGCACTTATTTACATCGGTCCTCACCAGCTTAAGTTTGACTTTTTTCTTTTTTCTTTTCCTTTACCCCCCC